AGAAAGAAAGAAAGAAAGAAAGAAAGAAAGAAAGAAAGAAAGAAAGAGTCCAACTTGGCAACGTCAGCAACAGAAAAACCAAAAACATTGTGACAGGAACCCTAAATGCATTTTACTTGAGTTTTATGGGTGTTTTATGTGATTTCCAAATGCCATAACTACTTAGCCCAGTTTCTGTACCAAACACAGAAGGACTCCTTTTTATCCCTTGGAATTTTATGAGATAATCTTGGACTGGAATGCTTCGTTAAACTTGTAGGGGAGGGTTCAGATTGTAGTGTCTCACTAAGAACTCTGCAAATATAGCAATCACTTTTTTTCTATCCTTAGTGCTGTTAAGTAAGGCTAGCATTTTTTTAATAACATACTTGGGGATCATGTACTAAATTGTGTTTCCAAACCTGTCCCCCCCCCCCAAAGATTATTATAATTGCCCTTCAGGGCTGGAACCCTGCATCTATATGGACCAACTTCTCTTCTATTCTCCTTTTATTAAATATAAAGAGTACTAGAACATTATATCAGCTAACAGAAATCAGAATTAGAATAAGAAAAAAATATGTTGATTTTCCTTTTTTTCTCTTGAAAATAATCCATTAAAATCCATAGCCTAAAACTATTAGAAAAGGTACTTCATTCAGGGGCTTTTAGTATTTAACAGCTGGCCTTCTAAGTATGTTGCCATGTATGTAGTATATTTATTTATTTGACTGAGTAAAGCAAAATAATGACAGTTGCTTAGAGATACAGATCTTGTTTGCTGAACCATGATGGCTTGAAAATAATTTTTAACCATGGTTCCTAGTAGTAGGGTTGCTGATTTTACTTATGGTTGGGACTTCTTTTTCTGTCCTCTGAATGTAAAATCAGTGAAAGAAATTGCCACAAATGAGGCTACTCCACCATTCCTCCCAGCTCCATTTTCATTCCCAATATGCTTTCAAGAGAGGGCCAGTTTTTAATTACATACTTGGGGATCATGTATTGAATTGTGTTTCCAAACCTGTCCCCCCCCAACCCCCCAGATTGTGTGGGGGTTGAGCACTAGGCTTCTTCTGTTCCATGTGTCAGCCACACTAGGTAGACCAGGCAAGGAAATGAATTCCATGGGAAGACTAGAACTACTTTTATTGAGATGGGCTATATCAACGGAACCTTGCAGGTCTGATTGTGCTGTGCCTCCCCCCTCTTGCATATTTCCGTCAAGGTCATTTTCCTTAACTCTCTGCAAGGTGCAGTAGCTCCAATCTTTTCCAGCATTGGCTTGTTGGCTTGTTCATTTTGTAAATGCAATTTTTTTGGTGCCAGTTGATGAGCTACTATAAAAGTGCCTGGGAAACCAGCCAAGAATGCGGGGAACCATCCAACTGTCATCTGTAGCATGAGTAAATCTGTATGGTAAACACGAGTGATGCCTAAATGAGGAGGACCAGTAATATATAGTTAAGTTAACTGCAGCCTTTATTTGAGTATTTGAGGAGCCTTGGTCTTGTCTTTTTTTTTCTCCTAGGAAAGCTGCTATGAGCTGGATATAATTTGGCATTCAGAAATCATATGTGTGCAGAGAAGTGGGTTTAACCTTCTCTTCTACTACCTCATTTAAAGAATATCTTCAAAAGAATCACCAAGGTTTCGCAGAGGAAAGGGGGTACTTGTACACCTTCTGGTTTGATTCCTTTCTTAATGCTGGAAATAGAGGCCTAGAGCATCCCTGAAATGGCTAGCCAAGCCCTGCTTGAAGAGCCTGAGGCTTTGAGCATTCTGCTCCTTGGGAAAATTGGTTTGATCAAACTGTTTTTATCACGAAGTTCCTTCTGTTCCACAGAAAAATACTCTAACTTAAACCATTGTGCTGAGTTCTGGTTCCTGGGCAGCCAAGAATAATCTTTGGCATCTGCTATATGACAGCCATTCAGATTTCTGAACAGTGCTAATGTCCACACTCTAGTTCTCCGGGTTAAATATATACGTCTCTTCATTTTTTCATACACGAGCTTGCCCTTCATACTGTTGACTCCTTTTTGCCTTTCTCTGAACTCATTATAAATTATTGTGTCCTCCTTCAAATGCAATGACCAGGACTAGACTGATAAAGCAGAATTATTACTTTCCGTAACCAGGAAATTCTAGCTCCATTAATAGCTCTCAATTGCATTAGCTTTTTCGGCTACTGATCGTACTACAGATGTTTAAATAATTCCTCTTAGGAAAATTTAGGATTCAATTAGGCTGAATGTGCATAACTAGTCTTCAGAGCAGTGACCTCCTCCCTCAGAGCTGTAGTCAGATGCTGTCTTTAAAGGCAGTCAAGTTAAATCAGTGCAGAGGCCACAGACAGGACTAAGGGGAAGAGATAAATCATGCCAAGTTTCCAATAAAGTCAAGTGCAGAGACCACAATATCAGAGCATTTATATTTTGTTCTGATTTACCTGGTGTTTTTACTCCCCCCTTCATGGCAAATGTTTCAACCCTATTCTCCAAAGTCACAGAATTTATGTGTTTGATTTCTATTCCATCAGTCTACTCAATCTGAGCGCTCCAGTGACTAATGATCAAGAAAATGTAGACTAGGGCTGTGCAAAGCATTTGAAGAGAATGAATTTGCCAAGTGTGCCGGCCTGTATAGCTGAGGAAGGCCTGAGAAGTAACTCTGCCAAACCTTCCAGAAGATGCAGGTGCTTTCCATTTTGAAGTGGGGTGCTTTGCTTGCACTGACATGCTTAGCAAGGAACCTCTCTTGAATGTTTTGGATGGCCATTCAGAGGCCTAAATTAAAACCAGTGCTATCATTCATTCATTAATAAAAGCCTAGTGAAAGAGATGTGTCCTAGCTGTTCTTCTAAACCAGTGTGGTCCAAACTTGGCCACTTTAAGATGAGTGGACTTCAACTCCCAGAATTCCCCCACCAGCATGGCCTGGCCGGCTGGGGGGATTTGGGGGTTGAAATTCACTTATCTTTAAATGGGCACAGTTGTATGACACTGTTATT